CGCGAGGTTCCTGCTGCCCTCGTGGCAGCCCGGCTGTCGGAGCTGGAGGAAGGTGTGCAGGCTCCCCACGGACACCGGGCTGGCAGCGTGCCACAGGAGCGATCTCGGGGCGACCCTAAATACAGCCACCGGTGGGCACTGTATGCAAGTTTCTCTCTCTTTTTTTTTTTTTTTTCTTTACATTTTCCACTTTCCAAAGAAACCTAAATGAAATGGTAGCGGGATAGGAGAACCACAATAAAACACTACCGATGTTTTAAAGGCAGTAAGAAACAGCTTACATTTTACGTAACTGAGGAAGTTTCTTAAAGATTCCTGTGGCTTCCAACACCGTGAATTCGTTATTATTGAGACGCCTAGGGAAAAAAGAAAGAACAGCAACTTTTCACTACCACCATGAGTGGGTTTCATTTTTTTTTTAATCACGCTGAGTTATAACATTTTTAATGAAAACTCTAAAGTGAAACATAGCAGATATATCACCAAAGATGTGTCAAAAGTACTGAGAGGCTTTCCAACTTAACTCAAATTTTAATTACCCAAATAAAATATATTAAGAGGCACACAGCATGGAAAACGCTCATTCAGTAGTCTAAAACAAAGTACCTCAAACTTTTTCTCAGCATCTTTGTTAGAAGCATGTTTAGACATTTTTTCCTAATTGCTCGCTTCATTTTTTTAATTTACAGCTTTATTGAAATACAACTCAGCTATGATAAAGTTCGCCCTTTGAAAGTGTGCAATTCAGTTGTTTTGGGTAGACTCACACAATTGTGTAATCATCTCTGCTATTTAATTCTAAAATATTTTTACTTTCTATCCTTTTGATTTTCCTCTTCTGGATGATTTTTATAAATAGGATCACACAAAGTGTGACCTTTTGTGTCTGGATTCCTCTGCTTGGTATCATTTTTAAGGTTCATAGTACTTTAAGTACATAGCAGTGCCTCACCTATTTTTATGACTGAATAAGGATCCACTGAATGGACATACCACATTTTGTTTATCCACGTAGCAGGCGGTGGGTGTTTGTGTGCTTCTACTCTTTGACTACTACGGTGCTTACAAACATTGGTATACAAATTGTTATGTGGCTATGTTTTCAATTTCTTTGAATATAATCATAGGAGTGGAATTGTCCGGTATTACTTCTCCTTCGAAGTTCTATATTGTTGAAAATAAACATAAATGCCTACATGGCTATAAACACTGAGTTCAAGGCGTTTTTTGCCTTCATAAGTCTCTAACAGCCCTAGAGCTATGAAACAGCTTTCTGAACTAAAAGGAGAGAGAACAGTTCACTGTAGCCACAAGGTACTTTCTGTCAACTTTTTGAAAGGCATCATTTTTACCTACTCAAACTGCTAAAAAATTCGTACAGTAAGAGGCATGAGTATGGGCACAGTGGGAGATAAATATATAACTCACAATCCCTGTCATCAAGAGGCTTTAACGCCATTGAAGACAGAGGATAATGCACACAGAGAAAACCAACTTTGCAAAGCAAAAGCCAGGTAATGTTCTATATCCATATTACTAAGATGTTCAGAAAATAAGATTTCACTAGATTTTTCTTGCATTTTTGAACTAATACTATAGATCTTCCATTTACAAAGAAAACCAGTAAAGTCAAAAACCTACACATAGACCTCTATAAATGACTCAGCCATCATTAGCACCTAGAATGGCAGAGGCTGTGACAGGGCTGTATGGATGCATCTGATCACACCCTGTCCTTTCAGTTTCCTACAGGACGCCCGTAGCACAGGAGAAGCGATCCTTTGCCCTTTAACACTCGGCAATGACTGAATCTTTCTACCTGCGAGTCAGTGAACGGGCAGTAAAGCAAGGAAGAATGAACTCCCTGATGGGATTCTTAGTTAACAGAGATTCAGAATGCTAGCCCTCAAATTACTTTATAGTTGATTTCTAGAAGGATTAAATACACTACAAATATATTAAACGTTTGGATATGGATTTGGGCAGAGATAATACCCAATAAATAAATATTGAACAAACACTATCGTTACCAGTGTAAATTGCTAACTGGGGTGTGGGGGGCTAGCCAGGGATAACCAAATTCTCCAACAGTGACCCTTATGGGAAGGTCACAGGGTCACACCCCGAGGCCTTTTCCTACACTCCGACACATACGTGAGGGCCCATGATGTGGACTGGCTGTGGGCCACAGTGTCAAGATCCTGGGCAGACTGTCTGTCTCTTATTAAAAAAATGAACTTTTAGGAAAAAATACAAACTGAATGTTGAGAGAGAAACTAATTTTTTTGAGAGATTTTTTTGATATAGGGTGTGTGCATTCACTGGAGAGACGGAGAGAAACAGAGAGACAGAAAGTGATAAACCATCCCCCAGGGAGGATGGCCATGCTGCATCCCTTTTACTCCATTCCTCTCTGGGGATTTTGGGCATGCATGCACACGCACCTGGAATGAGTTTCAAGGCACTGGGTCCAGGACTTGAACTGCCCTCAACTACGTGGGAGTCCAGCACCTTAACCACTATGCCACCTGCTGGCCCCAAGCCTAATTTCCATAATTGAGTCTGTAGTTATAAAAATAGATTAATATAGCCTCCTATATAGTCTTGTACAAAGACTTGTACCAATATGATGTGTCGTAATTAAAATGGATGCAGTCATTGACATCAAAATGGCAAGACAAAAACATCAACGCTTTGATCCATGCGGGACCTCCCTCGCTCCGGGGTTCTGCGGGGCACGGACTCACAGCTCTGCCGTGTACTGAGGAATGTGGTCCGGGATCTTGCTGAGTTTCTGATTGGAGCAGTCCACGGTGGTGCCTTCACAGCGGCACTTCTCAGGACAAGCCAAGTCTGCAAAGCAGTCTCCACTTAATTTTGATCGATAATCTTCCGTACCTAGTGGGGGTTCAAGCCAAAAACAGGTGCTGAGCCTCAGGTGAATACATGCTCCGCTGCAGGGCGAGAACGGTAAGGTGACTATAGATTATGCAGCAGGGGACAACTTGGGGACTTTTGGTCAATGGATGCCAGAAGAAGGTAAAAAAGAGGCTTGGAATTTTCTGGAAAAAAGAGCGACCAGATTCACACGACAGGAAACATTAATAAGGTTGAGCTTTTCACAGCCATACTGTCTGCTGATCCAGTTCTGAGCCATTCTATCCTGCTTACAGTTAATCACGCAATGGCTATCAATTGTGAACAAGTTCATTTGTTTTTCCTCTGAGTCAAGAATTGAAAATGCATCCAGTAATAAACATATTCCTATATCTCATTGTAAATGAGGGCTTTCAAGGCAAATAGATGCACTCAGGATTTTAAATTTGCTGTGGACTTGCCTTATCCTCGCCCTCTCACATAATCTTCAGAAATGCCTACAAAGCCCTCTTTGTTTTCGTTCGATTTTATAAGAGGAGACAAGTAGGTCCTGACTGAACCCTCAGCAGCTTGTCATGCTGTAGAAAGCTGCGTGACGTTCCATGGTGCTTGACGGAACCATGTTTTACTCATACCTCGCAACCACATGGTTAGATCAAGCACAACAGAAAAGAAAGTGATAAACCATCCCCCAGGGAGGATGGCCATGCTGCATCCCTTTTACTCCATTCCTCTCTGGGGATTTTGGGCATGCATGCACACGCACCTGGAATGAGTTTCAAGGCACTGGGTCCAGGACTTGAACTGCCCTCAACTACGTGGGAGTCCAGCACCTTAACCACTATGCCACCTGCTGGCCCCAAGCCTAATTTCCATAATTGAGTCTGTAGTTATAAAAATAGATTAATATAGCCTCCTATATAGTCTTGTACAAAGACTTGTACCAATATGATGTGTCGTAATTAAAATGGATGCAGTCATTGACATCAAAATGGCAAGACAAAAACATCAACGCTTTGATCCATGCGGGACCTCCCTCGCTCCGGGGTTCTGCGGGGCACGGACTCACAGCTCTGCCGTGTACTGAGGAATGTGGTCCGGGATCTTGCTGAGTTTCTGATTGGAGCAGTCCACGGTGGTGCCTTCACAGCGGCACTTCTCAGGACAAGCCAAGTCTGCAAAGCAGTCTCCACTTAATTTTGATCGATAATCTTCCGTACCTAGTGGGGGTTCAAGCCAAAAACAGGTGCTGAGCCTCAGGTGAATACATGCTCCGCTGCAGGGCGAGAACGGTAAGGTGACTATAGATTATGCAGCAGGGGACAACTTGGGGACTTTTGGTCAATGGATGCCAGAAGAAGGTAAAAAAGAGGCTTGGAATTTTCTGGAAAAAAGAGCGACCAGATTCACACGACAGGAAACATTAATAAGGTTGAGCTTTTCACAGCCATACTGTCTGCTGATCCAGTTCTGAGCCATTCTATCCTGCTTACAGTTAATCACGCAATGGCTATCAATTGTGAACAAGTTCATTTGTTTTTCCTCTGAGTCAAGAATTGAAAATGCATCCAGTAATAAACATATTCCTATATCTCATTGTAAATGAGGGCTTTCAAGGCAAATAGATGCACTCAGGATTTTAAATTTGCTGTGGACTTGCCTTATCCTCGCCCTCTCACATAATCTTCAGAAATGCCTACAAAGCCCTCTTTGTTTTCGTTCGATTTTATAAGAGGAGACAAGTAGGTCCTGACTGAACCCTCAGCAGCTTGTCATGCTGTAGAAAGCTGCGTGACGTTCCATGGTGCTTGACGGAACCATGTTTTACTCATACCTCGCAACCACATGGTTAGATCAAGCACAACAGAAAATCTCGCTACATTATCACTACACCAATCACCAGGCGGAAGGGGAGACTGAGAGGAGAGATGAGGGAAGGAGGAGAGAGGCTACAGACGTTCTGGAAATGTAGGACTGGACGCGTGACATGCATTCTTCCTGGGGGGCTAGATCCCAGGAAGTGCGTCACGACCGAAGATTTCCTGTAAACACAAAGAGG